GTCCTTCGAGGTAATGTCGCCAATGAGTGAGAGCGCGAATAATAGCCAACAGCTCGCGATCATGAATGGGGTAGTTTCTTTCGGCAGGACTGAATGACTGCGATAGGTATGCACATGGGTGATAGACGCCATTAGTGTCAGTCTGCAGCAATACTCCTCCTGATGCGACAAGAGAAGCATCCGTAGCGATGGCGAATTGATGGTGGGGATCAGGGTTCTGAAGAACAGGGTGTGAAGTGAAGCATTCTTTTAGCTTCTCGAACGTTTGCTGGCACAGGGGCGTCCAAGAGAATGAGACATCCTTCTTCGTTAGGTCGATAAGGGGTCGAGCTATATCCGAGTAGTGGGAAACGAAGGTTCGGTAGAAGTTGCAAAAGCCCAAGAAGGATCGAACGTCTTTTACTGTTTCAGGGGTGGGCCAGTCTTTGATGCCTGCCGTTTTTCCTTTATCCATTTCTACGCTTCCTGGCTTGATAATCATTCCAAGGTATTCCACTTCTTCTGCATCGAATGTGCATTTCTCCGGTTTAACAAATAATTTTTCTTTTCGAAGTTTGTCTAGAATGATGCGGGTTCGTTGCTGATGTTCTTTGGTTGTTTCGGAGAAGATGAGCATATCGTCCATGTAGATGACGAGCCATCCTTCGTTGAGTTCAGTTCTGAACGTATCGTTCATATACGCTTGGAAGGTAGCAGGGGAATTGCATAATCCGAAGAACATGACCGTGGGTTCAAACAGTCCTTCTTCCGTGATGAACGCGGCTTTCCACCTGTCATCCGGATGAATCCGAATGTTATTGTATCCGGATCGAATATCAATTTTTGTGAATATCTTCGCGCCATGTAACCGTTCAACCAAAGATGACGGGAGTGGCAGGGGGTACGCGTTCTTGATAGTCTGGTCATTCAAGAAGCGGTAATCCTGGCATGGTCTAAGTTCTCCGCTTTTCTTTCCTACAAAAAAGAATCCGCTTGCTTGAGGGGATTTAGATTTCGTGATGAATCCCTTGGCAAGGTTTTCTTCAATAAATCTTTTTACTGCGCTTCGTTCGTTGTAGGAAAGGGGGTAAATTTTGGACGTTTTGGGAGTAAATCCGGGCTTCGTTTCGATACGATGATCGATACCGGGCCTCGTGGGAGGTAGTTCGTTCAGGCCGTTTTTTGCGAATACGTCAGAGAAGTCATGGAGATACTTCGGTACCAATTCTTCAAAAGATTTTTTCTTCTTTTCTTTTTCTTCGGAGGCGAACTCCTGTGCTTTGTTACTAAACTTGGAAGATTCTTCGACTTGTCGAAGATATTCTCCTTCGTCCGTAAGTTCGGTTAGGGATGATGGTGACGTACTCCAAGCGTCTTCTTTTGTATTGAACTTCTTAGTGAAGAAGGTCTTTTGTGGTCGGGAGGTTTGCTTGACATATTTTTCGATTTCGACAGATTTTCTTGTTGCTGGAAGGGATACCGTTTGTTTGGTCCAGTCTATAGCAGGGTTCATGGCTCGAAGCCAGGGGATCCCTAATAGGATCTGGTCCTTGTCGCCTAACTTGGTAATGTTGAATTTTCCTATCATCATCCTTTGGTCGATTTGAACGATTAGCGTGCAGTACCGTTCTACTGGTCCGCTGCTAAAGTAGCTTCCATCGGCGGTTTTAATGTAAAAAGGGGTTTCGAGTTTCTTGGTTCCAATGTTATGTTTTTTCACGAAGTCCTCGGAGATATAGGTCCCTGATGCTCCGGAGTCAATTACTGCGGTGGTTTCGACATTTTTCTGACGCGTTCGGGATACGAGGGTTATGGGGACACGAAGTTCTTTCTTTTCACCAACTGTTCGTATTAGGCGTACAGGTTTTGCTGGAGATGCTATCGTCGATATAGGTCTCCTGTTTAAAAATCCTCATCAATTCTTCTAGCTTCTTCCTCTTCCTCTACCTTCCTGACTGCTGGGTAGGGGGCTTTCTTCTTCTGCGGACATTCCCGTGCCCGATGTCCGATCTGGTGACAGTTGAAACATTTTCCTGTCCTCATGTATTCTTGCTTGGCTTCGTCGGTGATCCGATCAATAACCATGGCGTCCCTATCTCTGGCTGGGATGTATCTTTGATCTCCGCGGCCGTTCTTCTTCTGGATTTGTCGGGAAGGAAACCTGCTTCTCCGAGCTAGCAATCTTGCGTAGCAATTATCCAGATCGACTACCGCAGCGATGTAGTCATCGAGGTTCTTGGGTACCCCTCCTGCGTTGAACATCTTGGTTAGAAGTCCTCCGTTGAGGCCGTTTTCGAAATGATAGATCATCATATGTTCTTCTTTGATCTTTGCCTGGGCGAGTAACCTCTTGAAGTCTGCAATGTACGTCTGCAGGCCTTCTGGGCCTTGTTTTAATTCCAAGAGTCGTGCCAATGCGGTTCCGGATGGGTCAATCGGTCCGAAGGCTTTGTCAAAGCTTTCGTTGAACTCTTTCAAAGTTCCATAGCCCTTCTTTTGTCCAGTTGAGTCGATGAATTGGGCCTCTGCGAGGAATTCTTCTTTCCATGACCTAGCATTTCCTTCATTCATGAACGAGGAGATGAAGATTACTTTCTGAGTGTCGGTTTTATAGATTTCCGAGTTGATATCGATGTAAGCATTGCATGAGAGCATGAATGACTTGGACTTGTCTCTGTCGCCATCAAATGTAGGAGGATGGTTGATCTTGAATTCTGTTGTTTTGGATGAGGCCGACATATTCAATGGTGGTACAGAAGTACCAAGGTTCAGGGCTTGGAAGGTGGGGGTGAGTGAAGTCAGATTGTCGCCTTTTCTTCGCCTGCACTAGCTGTCTTGCTCAGTCAGGATCTTTCTGTTCTGGTTTCGAGGTTTCTTTGACACGTATGGATATAGGTGTCCTTCTAGACTTCAATCTTTTGTTACGAACTAGGATAGTTCTTTAGCAACAAAGGCTCGACAGAGCGTTCACGTTGTTGAGATCTTTGTATAGCCCTTCAAATAAGAAGAGGTTCGTAGACTTTAGTCAAAGGAGTGCTTTGACAAAGAGATCGGTTCTGACGTCTTAAGATTGGTAGTCTTAAGAGAAGGAAGTTTTCAGGGTAAAACCTAGTAAGATTGAAGTGACGTTTCTAAGTGAAGTACACGTGCTTAAATAAGAAACTATATGCGCACGGACCAAGGCTACGGTGAGATAATAGTACAGAGGTTAAATGCGGAAGTAAGACCAAGAAAGGAAAGCTGAACTGCTAAGAACGTAAGGCATAATGGCAGATACGTGAGAAGTACAGATACGTGAGAAGGAAAGGAAATAGAGCGATTGTAACAGCACCCCGGATTCCAAATTTTGCAAGACAACCTGTGCACCATCAAAGGCCATGTCAGGAGATCACCTGCTGCTCCAGGAACTTGGTAACTTTGATTTTATTACCTCCTCTGATTTGGTTGATGTACAACTACCTCAGCTCCATCATGTTTACAATTATGATACACATGGGCCCACCCATCTATATTTTATACCACCCTTGGCCCACCCGTCTAATACAACATCCCATACAACACCCTCGGCCCACCGGTCTAATTAATATGTGTCTGGGCCCACCCGTATAATACAATATTGTATAATACCCTCGGCCCACCCGTCTAATTTAATATGTGTCTGGGCCCACCCGTGAATGTGATAACAAGTACCTACCCATCTATCTCATACACATCTACCTTAATACACCCATCTGCATAATATCCAACTACCTCGGCCCACCCGTCTACCTAATATTCATGTACATCGGCCCACTCATCTACTCTATATATCCCCTGCATGGGCCCACCCGCCTCCATCGGGAATAATTTGCCTCCCGGCCCATCCGTCATAGTCGAGGATATTTTTATCATGGGCCCATGGTCCGCTGGCCCGTATCATACGGGATATTATGCACATCTGTTCCCTCGTATTATACGGAAATAGGTCACTGTAATATGTACTGGATGGCCCAGGGGAAGGTTTTCGGGAGTTAGATAGCAAATCACCGGTGTTCATCATGTGGTGGTGGTCGGTCATATGGAGGAATCGTTCAAGTGGATCCTCATCATCTGCTTGATGCACTATTAGCTCGCGACTACTATAACATTGGATGAATACATACCGTTCAAACTTGTTCCCGATCTGAATCCATCGTATTGATTGTCATAGTCATTTTCGAATGACTCGCTGGTAATGTCTTGAAGTTCACCAGAAATGCCTGAACGCGGATTATGGTCAGGCATCTGCATACTTTGCTGAGAGCAAGTAGGTAAGGAGAAATGAGATGGGGAAGGAGTGGCCACTGGTTAAAGGGTACTTACACCATGCGTCCGGGGGCTGGAATTGAGCGATTTCCTGCATCGTGTGCTAGAAACATGATGTAGAACCTCATTATAATATGTAATAGCGAATAAAAGAAAAATTAAATAGAGCCAAGGTATTGGGCTAGCCATATCTGATACTAACGGCAATAATCCATGATAATGGCGACGCATAAGGTCAATATCAGTGGGGTGAGGCTCAAGAGATGATGGGAACGGAAGCAAAATTTGAATTGACTCACTCAATCCGTTGAATAATCGACCATGAGCATTGCATGTAAGGCGGCCAAAGAGAAGCAGTACATATATGGGATGTTTGAACGTCGACAAATATGGTTATTCAGTACCGAGAATCTTAATAATGCTGCGCACTGACTTCCATGTGCCGATCAGATGTTGTATTCTTTGACAAATGTGTAGTTCCAATGAGCGTAATAGTGTGACAACAACTTGAAAATAAATATGAAAAAACTCTAGTACATTATAACTGCACAGAAGAGAAAATACATATGGTTAAAGTGATACTATCAGACACGCCATAGACACCTCCATATTGATGTCACGATGATGGCAAATGGGGATTGATGAAAATGTGATCTGAGTTCACCGCTGCTTTATATGGTTGATCAGCATGGTAATACTTCAAACGAGAATTTCACATACTGATGGAAGAGCAATTATCAGGTAGTCGACTGTTCAGAGCCTTCACATGAAGCCTCGGAGTCAAGGTCCGAATCATCCACATGGCAAGATTCATCAGATGAGTCAGAAGGTTCCTCATTGCTGAGGCAGGAGAATGTGATGGGGTACATGGGGAATACTTCGGGAGATTTCAAAAACGCCTTCCTGACACATACACTCAGGAGCTTCGCAACCTGATCAGTTTGTGTACTGATGATATGAAGGGCCTCGGATTCGTCCTGGTAGACAGCTTGGAGATAATTCCTATCATCACCCAGTTCTGCCTGGCCACGCTGCGAAAAGATCTTCCTGAAGCACTGCAATTCCCACTCTGCCAACTTGAATCGTTCTTCGTTTTCAGCATGGATACCATCAAGAAATATTGAGTGATGCTCAGCCTCTTCGATTTCCCACGTTGTCAACAACATGCGTTGGCGCGCAACCTCGCGCGTTGCAAGCTTGGCCTTGTATCCTCTGTACAAGGTCGAAGTTGTCATTTGGGAGAGGCCACTCTCTCACTGTTCTTCAAACTTTAAGACTACATTAGCATGATTATTAACATCGGGAAGTCAATTCAATATACCTTCTTAGTTGCTTCCAATGGAAATTCGGATTGGAATTTGAGATTCATCACCCGGGCTGCATAACGAAGTTCCAATGGAGCTGGGTTGGTGGGGTATGGGAGAGACGTCCTTGATGGTTTCTTGCATGCGAAGTGCTGTTGAGGAGATAGAGACCGTGACCTTTTGCCATGCCTAGAGAATAGGCTCTCCTTTACATCAGCAGGCTTGGATGTTCCATCCCGTTCAATGTGCAGAGAACTATTCATCATGTTTGGAGAGAGGCCAGATTGTAGGCTTGAATTACAAAGAGTCGTGTCAGACTGGCCCAAGGAGTCGGGAGAAGATGGAATTGTGGGACTGCTCATTTCTACAGGTGACAAAGGCAAATGAGGGCTGCAAGATTGAACAGGAGACGGAGGTGAGTTGGCCATCCTATAGTAAGGGAATCTCGGAACTTAGGTGGTGATACAGGTGATATATATTAATGGATACCTAGCGCAGAGCCTGAAAAAGGAAGCTTACAGGGTGTACTACTACAGTAGTATCTATCAGCAGAGCGCAGTGATAGCATTATACAGCATGGTCAGTTGCCCTGGATGTCATGAATCCTTTTCTGCAACAGGTTATAGTCAGCATCTAGCCAAGACTAGACAAACACCATGCAGAGCCTTCCTTGCTACTTTTCGTGCAAATTCTAACTCCCAGGGCCTGGGGAGTCCGAAGAATCCGACACTCCAAGCTGGCACACATTCCCTGTCACCGCCTCCAGGGTCCTTGGAAGAACAAGATCATCCAATCTTATTTGAGGGAGATTTTTTTGGTACTTATGAGGAAGCTGATCTAGAATGGCCAGATGACCATTCTGGTGACGAAGAAGAGGACCTTTACAACAATGAATGGGAACCTCCTGCACAGGACAATAATGATGAACCGGAACCTCCAGTACCTGATGATGACATACTGGAAAATGAAGGTGCTGAAGCCTTGGAGAACCGAGAAGCTCGTCGGGAGATTGAGCAATGTACCATGGAGCAAGATCATATTGTTATTGTGCCCTATCCAGATGCCCATGCAGGCGTACCAATAACTGGACAGCCTGCTCATGATTCAAATACCACATATGGTATAGATGCTGGCAACTCCAACAATATTTACGCTCCCTTCACCTCTCAGATAGACTGGGACGTTGCTAAGTGGGCAAAGTTACGCAGTCCTAGTTCAATGGCATTTACTGACCTTCTTGCAATTGATGGGGTAGGTGCCAGTGAAGGTTACATCCTTGATTGTTCTGATATCCATATGTAGGTCAGTGAACGGCTCAACCTTTCATTCAAGAATTCAAAAGAGCTTAATAAGATAATCGACAAGGACCTTCCTGGACGACCAAAGTTCAAGCGTGAACAAATCATTGTCGCTGGCGAAGCATTTGACATTTTCTACCGAGATATTGTCGAATGCATCAGATCTTTATATAGTGACCCTGACTTCGCCGATTTTCTCATATTCAAACCGGAGCGTCATTACGCTGATGAGGATAAGACAATACAATTATTTCATGATATGCACACTGGTCAGTGGTGGTGGGACACACAGGTAAGCATGGTATCATAAATTCGATGCTTGGCCTACATTATTGACTTTGTAATTCAAGAAAGCGCTTGATCGACGATGTCCGGGTGCCACAATCATCCCTGTCATCATATCGAGTGACAAAACCCAGGTTACCATGTTCCGCAACAAAACTGCCTATCCCGTCTACCTTACAATCGGTAACATTCCAAAGGAAATACGACGAAAGCCATCCCGTCGCGCTCACATTCTCCTAGCGTATTTGCCTACTACCCGCCTTGAGCATATCGCAAATAAAGCCTCAAGACGTCGAGCTGTTGCAAACCTCTACCATGCCTGTATGAGTCGCATACTGGCTCCCCTAAAGACTGCTGGAGTTGATGGGCTTGTGATGAGTAGTGGCGATGGTGCACGACGTCGTTGTCACCCATTGTTCGCGTGCTTCGTTGGTGACTATCCTGAGCAGTTACTTGCTGCTGGAGTGAAGTCGATGGAGTGCCCAAAGTGCGATGTTCCCACAGACGAACTCGAAAGTAATACAGCGCAATGCGATATACGCGATCTTCATGCTGTGTTGGATGCTCTCGCTCTGATCGATGAAGGTGACCTGGCCTTCGTACAAGCATGTCGTGCTGCTGGAATCAAACCAGTTGTCCATCCATTCTGGGAGGACCTGCCCTATACAAACATTTTTCAGGCAATCACGCCTGACGTGCTGCACCAACTATATCAGGGTCTCGTCAAGCATTTGCTTGGATGGTTAGCACAAGCGTGTGGAGCTGCAGAGATCGATGCACGATGCCGTCGGTTACCTCCCAACCATCATATCCGACTATTCATGAAGGGTATTACCAGTCTCAGTCGCCTCAGTGGTACTGAACACAGCCAAATATGTCGCTTCCTCCTTGGCATCATTATTGACATCCGGCTTCCCGGAAATCTTGCTTCATCTCACCTTCTAAAGGCTGTACACGGTCTCCTCGACTTCCTCTACCTTGCGCAATATCCATGTCATAGCTCTGAAACATTACTTTTACTAGATGAAGCTCACGCACTCTTTCACGACAACAAGGAGATATTCGTTGACCTTGGAATCCGAAACAACTTCAACCTTCCAAAACTCCATGCAATACGTCATTATACGTCTATGATTCGGACGTTTGGGACAACGGATAACTACAACACCGAGTACACTGAAAGGCTGCATATAGATCTCGCCAAGGATGCCTATCGTGCTACCAATCACAAGCACAAATTCACGCAGATGACACGATGGCTAGAACGAAAGGAGAAGATCATCTGTCACGAGCAGTACATAAAATGGCGCCTTGATAGAGATCGTGCTCCTTATCAACCGCGTCCACCCGACCTATGCCTTGACTGCACCCTAAAAATGACAAAGCATCCAAGCGCCAAAGCTGTCTCAGTTCCAACATTGATATCTGACTATGGTGCAACTTACTTCTGAGAAGCACTTGCTCGGTACATTGCAGAACAACAGAATCCAAATGAGGTTTTCACTCGTCAGCGGCTGGAGAACATCGCTGCAGGTATCCATTTACCATTCCACTCCATCCCCGTATATCACAAGATAAAGTGGTTATCGACTGACGCTCGAGGGCATGGCGATCCACTTGTGACGGTGGATAGCATACACGCTAAACCCCAACGCGCTGCTCTCCAAACAGATGACATCAGGAAAAAGGGAAAAAGTCTTAGCCATCTTAGCTCACTTACAGAGACTTAATTCGACGTTAAGTTCACCAAGTTGTCAAAGCAAACCATTCTGGCTTAATTTCTGCTTGGAGGATTGTTCACAAAGGAAACACAATAATAGCAAGCAATGAATGGCCAAAATTCAGCACAGAGGCTACAGAAAAGTGTGTTCAAGTAAGAAGGTTATTTGTAAGTAATCAACACCATGCTGCGATGTAACTAAGTTGATAGGCGCTATGCAAAGTACTTCCTAAGCCGACATAAGTTGGTATCAAGTCACCAGGCAATCGCAAATGCCTGATGGTCAATGTATTTATTTACATAGTAAGTGCGGAAAGCATCAAGGGTCTGTGTGTAAGAGAGATAAGTAGGTACAAATTCATGCCCAAATACAGGCATAAGGTGTGCCGCACGAAAGATGCAGTCAAGGTGAATGACAGAGGCAAATCGTGTCCCATCCTCACAGGTTTCAGGCTCTACTACCCACATTCCTGTGTTCTCATCTCATGAGTCGTGCACATGTTTGAACCAATGCACAAATGCACAAGGGTAATGTACACCATTGTGTTTAAATGAAAAGAAAAGCCTTACTTGAGCGATATCGAAGCCACGCATGCCCTCGACAGTGGGATCAGAACTAACAAAAACACAGTCATATCGACCAGGGCCATTCCTCCAGGTATCCACGGCACAAATTCGCTCGTAGCGCATACCACCGATGCCTGAGACATCACTTGGAGCAAAGAAGGTGGCAATGGCAGATGTATACAGAGTCATTTTTTCATATAGCTCGGGAAGGGCACCGGACGAGCCAGCGCCAGACTCGGAGGCTTCTGAGTTCAAGTTGGAGTCAGAATGATGGAGCTGGTCACGTAAAAACCGCTGAATATGAGTGGTGAGTTCCAGTTCACCAATTTCGTCTGCGAGGAGGTCTGCATAGATCCGTTTTGCTACATTAAAATTTGTTGTAAGTAAAAGCACGCCAGGTGAATGTACTACTCCACTCACCAGATTTCTTCGCCAAGTCCACATGAGCTAGTATCACCGTCGGTCCAGCAACAGTGTCGCCCTCGAGTTCAGCATCTTGGTCTGCATCAGCCTCCAAGTTGGCATTCACATGATTGTTGTGTCCGAGATGGGGAATGTCAATAGGCTCGTCCTCGAGTCGGACTTGAACGGCTTCTGCATTGTGCACTGGAGCGTTTAGCCCTGTGGATTATGAGTGTGTGATTTGTGTTAGTAATATTAGTGGCCAAATGCTAGTAGACGTACCGAGTTTGTCAAGGATATATGATAGACATGTTCCTCTTAGCATCCCACGGCTAGCAAAGTCGATATGAGACGCCGCTAACTTATCTAGACGTTGATTTGTCAGTAACATCTGATTGAGGGCTTCAAACCGACTGGACCGTCGCCACGGCTCCTTGACAGCTTTGATATGTTTAGATTCTGTGATGGAAGAACAGAGTCTGTTTGGTGTGCCAAATGATTGGATCAATTTGTGGTAGTGGATAAGCGAGTGTTGTCGAGGGAGGTTGAATCCATTAGGGCGAACACCAGATGTTTTGAACATTTCACGGTACCTGTGGAAACGCTCAAGTGCATCATCCAACACATTGAGGCTGTTGGAATCAATGATATTGCGCCGCGCAATGTATACAAAATCAATCAAGGCTTGCAAAGTCAGCACCATCTCCGGAGGTACATGGCCTTCAATCACAGGTATATACACCTATGGTAGTAAGAATACACGTTAGTCAACACTACTCGTGATGATAGAACACCTGTTCATTGACATACCTTCATAAGTGCTTTGGAGTCATCTCCCGTCCATTGTTTGAAGCCCCTTCCCTCCGGGAATCATCGAAGGCCCGCAAATGAGGGAGCAAGAGCAATGCTAGTTGTAGAGTGCATCAATACCAGTCATTGTAACCCAGCATGTTCAAAAATTGGACTTACCGGCGATCAATATCATCTAATATTTTATTCGCCTCATTTTCCGAGTACCGAGCCTTAATATAAACGCACCCTTTATCAGCTGATGTAAAATGTCAGGGGAAAGGAGTTCGTGAATGTCAGCTCGCGGGAAATAGTTGGTGAATGGCTGTAGAACACGTATATTTAAGTTGTCAGCTTAAAAAATGACTACGATAATGAAGGTACAAACCACAATGTCTCCTACAAGTCCATATTCATCCCATAGCACACCTAACTCAAATTCCTCCACCAAGACTTCGGTATGGTCGCAGGAACGCCGACCATAGGTACCATTGTCAAGACCATCTGCCGGAGCAGTACATCTGGATGGATGTGTAGTAAGTAGACAGTACTAGCATAACGTGAAGGACAAAAAAATACATACTTTGGGCACCAGTTTTGAACGATGCAAGCGAGCAATGCTTGCTCGGGATAATCGGCGATATATGGTCCAAGACCATACACTGCACGTCGAAAATGACCATCGGGGGAGCGTACAACCTCGGGTGTTGTCATACCTGGTTTAAGGGATTCCAGCATCTTCGCCAGCGATGAGTGGAGAAGCTGACGGCGGAATTTTCGAAAGTGTGCATCTTTGGCGGACTCCTTGTCAGCTAGATATATGCATCTAATTAGCACCAGCAACAGACAACATCAGATTGAAACGTACTTGTTGGGATGGCTAGGAAGCCCAGCAATACAACACCGTTGCGGTGTGCATGTCGCACATTGTTGCAGATGTTGCAGATTGACATATAAACTGGCCAGTATTGATTGTGTCCGGTAGCGACGGAGACCGTAGTCTTGTCACTGCCAAGGATTATTGGAACAAACATAGATCCAATTGTATTGGGATCCTTGGCAATCAAATCCTGTGAATTGTGAGAGATGAGAAAATTGGAAAAAAGGATAAAAAATGGCTTACAGCCTGCTTCCAACACCAATCACCGGACATAAAGTCCTGAAAGCGATGTGCTCCATTGCTGGTATCATACTCCTGTAGCGGAGCATAGTCGAATTCACCTTCGAAGTCTGGGTTGGAGAGAATGTTGTGCACGAGGATCCGAGGATCTCAGAACCATACATCATACTCCGATGTCATCCATGTCGGAACGTCACCTTCAGGTAGAGCACCGTTATATTCTGAGGTAAAACTCTGCCAGGCGATGTCACCTAGAGGCGTCGAATCAATGACATTGTACATCTCAATGTGGTTTGCGAAGGGGGGTGTTTCACCATGAGCCGCTAATGAGGCGGCCCACAGATTGAATATAAAGTCGATATCGCCCCCCGACATCTGGTTGCGACGGTAGAGGAAGTCTGCGACTTCGAAATCAACTCGATTAGCATATGGTGTCCAGTTGTCTGGTCCAAGATTTGATGGACGTGGAGGTGGCGGAGTATTTGGTGGTATGTCATCTCCATGTTCGTCGCAAATTTTCCCTTCATGGAGATGAGTATATGAGCACAAGTTTGGATGAGCGTCAAGTGAAATTAACACACACCATTGAATTAGGATGATATGTTCTGGTAATGCCAGGAACTTGAAGAGGAACACTACCATCTCGACTCGCCTGGCCAATGGGACCAGTGCCACTTGAAGGACGTTGATATGAGCTGTTCATATCTGCCTCATTGGCAGCATCATCGTAAAAGCCATACCCACATCCATCTGACTCTGGCAAGTCAAACTCCATTTGATCGTCGCAACTCCCAGGTACTTCAAGTTGTTCGTCACCTGCGCTAGTCTGAGTTGGGCTGCGTGAATGCATGCATGCTGAGCTTGTTGCAGCATGTCCAGTGCCAGGTCGGGATGACTGGGAATGCTGTGAACTCGAGGAGGAATGGTGGGATGGTGGGACTTCGGGTTCTTCAGATGGATGGTGGGATTGCATATGAGTGGTGCACCCTGACCTGTTGTAAAAACGGCGGATACAGCCCGTCACTAGGCATGGCAGCGTGGGTTGAGGGCGGCCAAGATTGTGCATATTGTGCACTCGAATGGGGCCTATGAGTCTGGCTTTGGAGGTGTAACTTTGAATTGACTTTATACAAGGCCTGGTAAATGTGCAGGAGAACATCATGCATGCGAGTACGTACAAGTAGCCAATGGTAACATGATCTGCCCAGGGTTGATGCAAGGTGCGCCCATGAATAACTTCCAGCCACCACCGAGAGCATGACGGAATGCATTTGACATGTGAAGCGATACATCCAGGGCCAATGCAAGGCACACCCATGAATAACTTCCAGCCACACAACATGATGCGCTCAGGGTTGATGCAAGGTGCGCCCATGAATAACTTCCAGCCACCACCGAGAGCATGACGGAATGTGTTTGAGATGTGAAGTGATACATCCAAAATAATGCAAGGCGCACCCATGAATAACTTCCAGCCACACAACACGATGCACTCAGGGTTGATGCAAGGTGCGCCCATGAATAACTTCCAGCCACCACCGAGAGCATGACGGAATGTGTTTGAGATGTGAGGTGATACATCCAGGGCCAATGCAAGGCACACCCATGAATAACTTCCAGCCACACAACACGATGCATTCAGGGTTGATGCAAGGTGCGCCCATGAATAACTTCCAGCCACCACCGAGAGCATGACGGAATGTGTTTGAGATGTGAAGCGATACATTCAAAATAATGCAAGGCGCACCCATGAATAACTTCCAGCCACACAACACGATGCATTCAGGGTTGATGCAAGGTGCGCCCATGAATAACTTCCAGCCACCACCGAGAGCATGATGGAATGCATTTGACATGCGGCGAAGACGATCGCCTATCTTGATGAGAGGAAGACCGAGAGCATGACGGAATGCATTTGACATGCGAAGTTGCATTCAGCGACACGCCACAGAAGTGAGACTTGCCCCCCCCCCCCCCCCCCCCTCAAGTCTAAACACAGCAGTCAGCACACCGCAGTTTACTAGGAGCTAGAGGAAACATTACTAGTAGTAATATTAGTATGTTGGTCACCAATGAAGATTTCAATTGTTGGTACCAATGTTGATAGTCGGTGATTGTTGTCTCCTTCAAGCCCTGGCAAGTTCGGAAAGAATTTGATATGGATAAGTAGAAATATATGGTCGAAGGCTTGGAGATATGAAGGAACGGAGCTTGGGCGCTCACTGGCCCGAAGAGTGCTGTTGAGGCGTGGCAAATTAGCAAGTCAAATTACATTGAAGTCCCGATTCGAACATCTTACTTGTGAACGCGTCTTCTTGATAAAGTCTTTGTGCCCTCCGAGCTCACCCCCTTCTACTCACTGCTATGTCTACCCGACGTGTCACTCGTGCAAAAAATGCAACTCAACATCCGGGTATCCCAGACATAACCCCGAAGAAGAAACACCGTACTGCAGAAGAAGTAGCTGCTGAGCGTCAGTCTAAGTTAGATGCTAAAGAAGAGAAAGAACGCACCAAGAGAGCTGGCATCAAACACGTTGCTAGATATGAGAAGAAGCAGGCGGACCAGGATGTGGTGACCGATGCTACACCGCGGGCTGTGCAGCCAAAGCCAAAGCCAAAGCCAGTCCCAAGCAAGAGGAAGGCTGTTGTGGCACCTCCTGCTGTCAAGGAGGACACGCCTCCTTCAGATGCCGAGATGAGTGATGCACGAGCTGCACCTTCGGTACCAAAGCCAAGGCCAATTCCTCGTAAGCAGAAGGCAATCATACATACTCCCGCTGTGGAGGACAATGGGTTTCTGTCGGATGCTGAGATGCATGATGCGGCTGTTGATAGTAGTACTTTCAACCCCGATCCAACCCAACCTTCAGACACGACGGCCTCAGACTTAGATGCAGATGGGTCTGACAGTGCAATGCCATTGTCACCGCCCAGGAAAAAGACGAAAGTTAGCGGGAAGAAGGCAGGGAAGGTGACGAAGACTTCTGTACGAGATGCTATCAAAGCAGTCCAGCAGACTCATATGTCAGGGAAGAGTAAGGCTGCAGATAGGAAGAAAACTGCACCTTGCAGCACAATCAGCCTCCATGCCGATGACTCGGACGAGTCAGACATCCTTGTTGTCAAAGCAACATTGAAGAAAGCTCCCAGCAAACAGCCAGCAGCCGTTCAGCCGGATGACGATGGTATGGTCATTGATACTAATACAACCGCATCATATTGTAAAGGCTCTCGTCAAGGATTCGCTGTAGGGATTCATTTCTGGTTGGGCTTGTAGAGACTGTTTTTACCTTACCTTATGTTGGCACTTTTGTAGCTTACATAATCAATCAATCTTTTCACCAGTTACCAGTATGAGTCTGAGTGCTCAGCAGTTTTCTATGATATTTCCTCTCCTCTGAGCCTTAAGCCTAGTCCAGAAACCCTTTAGGGTCGAATAGCAGCTAGGTTCTGCAAGACCCAACATATTGTTCAGACTCACCATCTGAATTGTTGTACCTTCATCGCCTGGCAAGCCCCCAGCTCGTCAAGCCGAGCGCACAAAGAAACCTGGCAACAATGATCTCCCAGATGGTGTTGAACAAAAGCTGTGGCGCCGTGTCTTTGTTTCTACTTACATGCAATACATTGCAACTCTGGCTAACCCCTGGGAGGTTCCCCCCAAGTTGGCCTGCCAGAAATTGCAGGTGATCTGGGACGCAATTTTCCCCAACATCTCATACACAGTCACGAGCACGAGCACCGTGTATCTCATAGTAAGTGTGTTCATGTGTGTCAATGGCAATACTAACTTCAACCTGGTACTATAGACTGTCCAGAGTGTTGCTGACTCCTATCGAAGCTTCATTGGCTCAGCAGCCATTGCGATCATCATCGCATACCTTGAGTCCCAGGAGACACTCAAGCACTCGGACGATAATTGTGTCGAATTTGCTACTTACACGCTGGACAAGCTTCGCTTCTTGTACAAGAAGGCAAACGGTGACGATAAATCTGTACATGCTTCTCACTATCTCTATTCATTGTCACTGTGCCACTAGTACTAACATGCAATGCAGAAGTTCCGCGGACTTTATCAAGGTGCCTTCGTGGTGCAAATGTTTGGCGCCCACTTCACTGCTATCAATGGCGCTCGCAAGATACATGGACTAGAGAAGCCGGGAGACAACTTGAATCCTGTTGGGGGTCTAGCGCTGTCATGTGCTGCGGTAATATATTTTTATTTTATTTTCTAATCACACCTCGCTGATCACTCATTGCTACTACTAGGTCGAACGAGCATTGACACTTATTGCTACTCGTACTATAACCATCAAAATGGTTCTCACTGCCAAGGGCAAATCTATACCCTTGCCGAAGACACTCAATCACTCAACCGGCAAAGTCTCCAATCGCCAAACGGGCTTCAATGACGTCACCTGGGGTTCTTCCACACGCTCATATGTGAAGTCGATCATGAGAAGCTTCCGAGACGAGAAGTTCCAAGCTGTCATCACTTCTGCCAAGGAATTTTCCAAGAAAAGCCATCGTTCTGGCAATGATAGAGCCATCGATGATGCTGTGGATGATGAAGATCTCGACGAACGTGCCCAGCTTGTGGACATCTCGGAGTCTGAGTCTGGGTCCGAAGACTCGGATCATACTATTGGCTCTGATGTGGGGTAGTAATCATATTCGTTCTTGTCATCTTCTGCCAGTGGTTTGCTTGCCAGCACTGTGTTCACTTACTGACCTGATTTAACTCTGGCAGTTCTTATGATCACACTTATTTCCTTCGCTTGACCATCTTAATTCGCATTTTGTCTTAGTCACCACTTGAATTGATGCTTTCGTTGACCGCTTTGTCTTGATCACGGTGTTAATGGTATACACCCAACTTGAATGGTTTTGTGAGTGCTTGAATTATTCACTTACCTATCAACTGTGTGGAACTTGGGAGCCTTAAAGATATGCTTGGATGTCTTGGTTGCATGGTATGAATACACATGATTCTCCGAGTCACCGCTTTATTGTCCGAATTCTACACTTACCATTGACTTTGCAACCTTGGGAGCCTTAAAGACACAATATATACTCGGACCTATGTGGCTGCTTAGAGCTGAATCCCTCTACTTCTAGTCTGCTTATTTTGACTTAGCTTACAATGTGTCTTTGAGAGAATCTGACATGACGAGTCACACTTGATGTCACTGCTTAACTGTGTACTTATGTCAAGTCGCTGATAAGTGTAACATTAAGTCAAATTCATCAGAAGACCCTACTTGTTTTAAGCAATGGCATACTTAGCGAAATTCTACTGAATCTTACTTAGAATCACCTGCAAGTCACCATAAGTGGTGTTAAGAAAAATTTACTTTTTCCTGATGGATGTAGTACCAGCACGTTTCGATACTGCACTTATCAACGATGGTACTGGCAGCTCCGTTGGCATCAAAGGTATGGCACTACACTTCACTGGATTCACACTGTTATAGCGTCAGTGATAATTTTGTTGCTAGGCTTCCACATAGGCCAAGTTCATGTCATTTTCTCAATTCCTGCAACAGCAACACAACTATTGTTCCCTCCAGCAAACCAGCCTCCCAAGCACCTTGCGTATGTCGAATGGTTTACTCCCTTTCCTGCGACACCAGATCCCAGGCACGGCATGTACAAAGTTAGCCGATTCATTCGGTCTGGCGAGAGGGTGGCAAGTATCATTCCTGTTTCAAATATTGCCCGCAGTGTCCATCTTATCCCAAAGTTCGGAGCTATTGTACCTCGACACTGGACAAGTAACAATGTTCTCGACGAATGTGACACCTTCTTCGTTAACTGCTATATTGATAGACATAGTTTCGTAACTCTCAGATAATGCTATATCGCATTAGCAATATTTTAGAAAGAATAATTGAATTAGTGCTATTCTGTATTACTTGGTATAACTTGTCTAACTTTTGAGAAATTTGTTACACTTAGTCTAGGTTTGTATCGGAGGGTTTTCCTGATGTCATTGTTTGATCCGGACATTAGATCTTCAGAGAGAAGTTGATGAATGTTGCGAGATCTGCGGAGAAGAAGAAGATGATCAGCAGGAGCAGACAAGAAGTTGAACGATGCATTCGATAAGGGTCAGGCTTGTACCACAATCATTTGACGATGCAAGATTTTTGGCCGCGACGAAGGGTATTGAGACAAAGGTGGGCGTTGATAATGTTCATGGTCATCTTTTGTTGAGCAGGTAAAGTAGATAGCTTGCAACAGTGCGTGTCGTACGTCAGTCCAGGATGAGTGAGTTGGTCGGAGATGCGGTCATTGTGTCCATCACATACGTCATGGGGGCAGCAAGCGTAGTTTGCAGGTAACATCACTCACCGAATCATATGGTGCAACTATACTTAATAACACAGAACTGTGAAAAAAAAGTAATTCATTCAGCGCGACAGTGTGTGGCACTACTAGTACAACACAGAACAACAAAGTATCATGCAGAAATAGATAAGCAACAGCAGAGCGAGGGAGTGAGAACAACTAAAAAAACAGCAAATGGGATAATATAGCGAATCAAGTCTCTAACTACACACCTATGTGAACAAATACAATCCGCTGTTCCAATGGAATATCACTGCGCCACAATTTCTTCAAAGCCTTGTGCAACGCCATTGCAGCGCGCGTGCAGTCCAGCCTCCCAGAACCATCGATCAGGTTGTCGTAGAAACCAGACACGACCTCCTGTGCTACCTCATCGTCGACAGACCACATGGAACCAATCACACTGCGAAATCCGGAGAATTGCATTGCCGCAGCGAGATGGATCGATTCGTCGGGACTCTTCTCATCGCCTACGGTAGTGTGGCAAGCCGATAGGAATGCAAACTGCGGCTCCTGCCAGTTGGATCGGATGATGTCCTTGATCATCAACGGCCCATCACGCATCGCGAAGGAAGATTCAAATGGTCGTCGTCGATTAGGCATTCCATGGCAGGCCAGGTGAAGCCACTGGTTACGGTTCAGGGCGTCAAATGCACCCTTGACCGTTGCGTCGCTGTCCTCGAGCCGCATGAAGGACGACACGACGGGCGCGAGACGCTTGGCGACAAAGGCTACCTCGGGAGCTACACATTCAAGTGGCCTCCCTCCATCCGGGTTTCCTTGACCAATGGCAACAAAATGTTGCGGGGACCCATCTAGTAAAACCTGCCGTCTCGCACGAACAAGCGTGGCCAAAGTGGGAGTGTACGAGGAGATGTAGATGTGAGACAGACTGTCTCTCTTCTTCTCGTAAGCTCCTGCTGCATGTAGAGGGAGCAGCGCGAACTCAGCAGTGGGACACCACCAGATACGCGAACCAGGGCGAACATTCAACACCTTGAGGGCTTGTACTACGGGGCCAACGATGCGATGCCAAAGTTTACGAAGGATGCTGACGAGCTCGATTTGAGTATCAGAAGAACCAAATTCTTTTATAAGGGACTGAAACTCAGAGGACAAATCAGAAACTTCGGTCTGCGTGATATCAATCGGAACGTGGACAGGATCTTGGTCGCTGAGAACAATCAAGGCATCGCAGCAATACTGACTGGCATTGACAATGACGACAGGACCGTCTTCAGCTGCCTTCTGGAGGTCTGAGAAAAGGGGGGGCAAGAGAAACCGAGAAAAGTCGGGAAGCATGCGGATTTTTGAAACGACATCATGCCATTGCATGGTCAGTTGCCGGATTTGCGGGGACTGGTCTTCAGTAGACTGGTCGAACGCATTACGAAGGCGAAAACTCAACCGTCTGAACTCCTCTGCCAAGGCCGTGGCGGTGTCACCTGAAACAGAAAGTTCGTCCAGTGGCGTGCTGAAGCGTGCCAGCTGGGTCCAAAACACTGCACGACCTTGCTCCACCAGCTCTACCGCAGTCGTTAGCGCACCATGACGAACACTGCATGAAAAAGCATCTGTGGCAAGGGAAGAAACGGCCTCCCTGATGACGTCGAAATGATGAGAAGAAGACGACAAGAGAGCAACTTGCTGATCCAGGAAATTGAGTGCAGTCTTATAGGCAAGCAATGCAGATGCATGATCGAGGGTGTCGGCGAAGGCTGCCCATGACTTGGCAACAAGGAGATCTGTGCGAGATGCTGCATGCGGTAGTTGGGAGAGTTGGGAATACAAGTCAAATGCTTCATGAAGGTCGGACTGGACGCCACAGTGGTGAAATCTATCTCGAAGGCTGAATACAAGATTGTTCAGAGACTTGGATCGATCTGAATAACCGGGGGGACAGAGGAGTAATGCATCACGATGCAGCTCGACGGACTCATCAAGGTCAGACATGATCCCACCCTGCTTGAATCTGTCTCGAAGGCTGAGTGCAAGATTGTTGAAAGACGAGGGTCGATCTGAATGACCGGGGGGACGGAGGAGTAATGAATCACGATGCAACTCGATGGACTCATCAAGGTCAGACATGATCCCACGCTGCAGGAATCTGTCTCCAAGGTTAGTAGCAAGATTGTTTAGAGACCTGGATCGATCTGGATGACCGGGGGGACAGAGGAATAATGCATCCCGATGCAGCTCGATGGCCTCATGAAGGTCAGACATGATCCCACGCTGCCGGAATCTGTCTCCAAGGCCGAGTGCAAGATTGTTCAGAGACGAGGATCGATCTGGATGACCGGGGGGACGGAGGAGTAATGCGTCGCGATGCAGCTCGATGGCCTCATCAAGGTCAGACATGATCCCACGCTGCTGGAATCTGTCTCGAAGGCTGTTTGCAAGATTGTTCAGAGACGAAGAGCGATCTGAATGACCGGGGGGACGGAGGAGTAACCCCTCCCGATCCAACTCGATGGACTCATCAAGGTCAGACATGATCCCACGCTGCTGGAATCTGTCTCGAAGTCTGAGTGCAAGATTGTTCAGAGACGAAGATCGATGTGAATGACCGGGGGGACGGAGGAGTGTTGCATCTCGATGCAGCTCAATGGACTCATCAAGGTCTGACATGATCCCTCGCTGCTTGAATCTGTCTCGAAGGCTGAGTGCAAGATTGTTCAGAGACAAGGATCGATCTGAATGACCGGGGGGACGGAGGAGTAATCCCTCCCGATCCAACTCGATGGACTCATCAAGGTCAGACATGATCCCACGCTGAAGGAATCTGTGTCGAAGGCTGTTTGCAAGACTGCTCAGAGACGAAGATCGATCTGAATGACCGGGGGGATGGAGGAGTAATGCATCCCGATCCAACTCAGTGGACTCATCAAGGTCAGACATGATCCCACCCTGCTTGAACCTGTTTCGAAGACTGAGTGCAAGATTGTTCAGAGACGAGGATCGATCTGGATGACCAGGGGGACGGAGGAGTAATGCATCCCGATCCAACTCGATGGACTCATCAAGGTCAAACATGATCCCACCTTGCTTGAATCTGTCGTACAAGCTGTTTGCAAGATTGCTCAGAGACGAGGATCGATCTGGATGATCGGGGGGACAGAGACGTAATGCATCCCGATGCAGCTCGATGGACTCATCAAGGTCAGAAATTATCCCACGCTGCCGGAATCTGTCTCGAAGGCTGAGTGCAAGATTGTTCAGAGACGAGAATCGATCTGGATGACCGTGGGGACGGAGGAGTAATGCATCCCGATCCAACTCGATGGACTCATCAAGGTCAGACGTCATCCCACCTTGCTTGAATCTGTCGTACAGGCTGTTTGCAAGATTGCTCAGAGACGAGGATCGATCTGGATGACCGGGGGGACAGAGGAGTAATGCATCCCGATGCAGCTCGAAGGACTCATCAAGGTCAGACATGATCCCACGCTGCTGGAATCTGTCTCGAAGGCTGAGCGCAAGATTGTTCAGAGACGAGGATCGATCTGGATGACCGGGGGGACGGAGGTGTAATGTATCCCGATGCAGCTCGATGGACTCATCAAGGTCAGACATGATCCCAAGCTGCAGGAATCTGTCTCCAAGGCTGTTTGCAAGATTGTTCAGAGACGAGAATCGATTTGAATGACCGGGGGGACGGAGGAGTAATGCATCCCGATGCAGCTCGATGGACTCATCCAGGTCAGACATCATCCCACCCTGCTGAAATCTGTGGAGAAGGCTGAGTGCAAGATTGTTGAGAGACGAGGATCGATCTGGATGACCGGGGGGACGGAGGAGTAATGTATCCCGATCTAAGTCGATGGACTCATCAAGGTCAGACATGATCCCACGCTGCTCGAATCTGCCGTACAGGCTGTTTGCAAGATTGCTCAGAGACGAGGATCGATCTGGATGACCGGGGGGACAGTGGAGTAATGCAGCCCGGTCCACCTCGATGGCCTCATCAAGGTCAGACATGACGCCACGCCGCCGGAATTATCTCCAAGGCTGAGTGCAAAGTTGTTGAGAAACAAGAACGGAAGTGAATGGCCTGGAGGACAAACCTGCACTAGGTTGCTCTAATTAGAGGGTGATTGAGTAATATAGCGCTTTGATGGATAATTGCTGGACAATGCTGCCCTCGGACTTGTGAGAATTGATGAGTATGTACCTCGGGAACATCCGTACGTGCTATTATTAATGCTACCGTCGCCAAGGACGTAGTTCCTGGCAACGCTCGGCGCTTGCCGGCCACCTTCGAGCTCTCGTTTTCAACGTTCCCTTGGCCGTTTCGCTTCGGACACGTTGCAAAGATGATATATAGACTACTATACAATAGCTGCCACATCCTCTTCTTCATCCTCCAGATGTTTTATTAGTCTTCGTATTTGCCATGCAACTCATTCTCTGCTACAGAAACAACGTCGAGTACTTACAGCCACGGTTATTTATACCGCTAAACGAAGTGCCAGTGAAGAACCAAATATTGTGTCACTGGGCCACGCACCGGTCTTGTCGTATGCAAACGTTAAACGTGTTGAAACAGCTGGAACAAACCACTGCTAAATACGCAGGCTATGCATGCAGTGTCCATGATTGAGTAGGACGGTTACCCACAGAAGGCGACTCGTGGAATATCGAGCAGTCTATCTAACTCGTAGTCTTCTTGAACTGATATTTGATGTTATCACAGAGGATCCGGCATGGTACATTGAAGTCATCGTGTCTAGGGCGGCAAGAGTAGTTCGGAAGTAACACCACTTACCGAATCATATGCTGCGACTATACTTAACAACGCAGAACTGTGACGATATATGAGTAAATCAGATTCATTCAGCGTGACAGTGTGTGGCACTAGTACAGCACAGAACAACAAAGTAGCATGCAGAATAGATAAGGCAACAGCAGAGCGAGGGAATGAAAACAACTAAAAAATACAGCAAATGGGATGATATAGCGAATCAGGTCTCTGACTACACACCGATGTGAACAAATACAATCCGCTGTTCCAGTGGTATATCACTGCGCCACAATTTCTTCACAGCCTTGTGCAACGCCATTGCAGCGCGCGTGCAGTCCAGTCTCCCTGAATCATCTATCAGATGGTCGTAAAAACCAGACACGACCTCCTGTGCTACCTCATCGTCGACAGACCACATGGAACCAATCACACTGCGAAATCCGGAGAATTGCATCGCGGCAGCGAGATGGATCGATTCATCGGGACTCTTCTCGTCGCCTACGGTAGTGTGGCAAGCTGATAAAAATGCAAACTGCGGCTCCTGCCAGTTGGATCAGATGATGTCCTTGATCATCAACGGCCCACCACGCATTGCGAAGGAAGATTCAAATGGTCGTCGTCGATTAGGCATTCCATGGCAGGCCAGGTGAAGCCACTGGTTACGGTTCAGCGCATCAAATGCACCCTTGACCGTTGAGTCGCTGTCCTCGAGCCGCATGAAGGACGACACGACGGGCGCGAGACGCTTGGCGACAAAGGCTACCTCGGGAGCTACACATTCAAGTGGCCTCCCTCCATCCGGGTTTCCTTGACCAATGGCAACAAAATGTTGCGGGGACCCATCTAGTGATACCTGCCGTCTCGCACGAACAAGCGTGGCCAAAGTGGGGGTGTACGAGGAGATGTAGATGTGAGATAGACTGTCTCTCTTCTTCTCGTAAGCTCCTGCTGCATGTAGAGGGAGCAGCGCGAACTCAGCAGTGGGACACCACCAGATACGCGAACCAGGGCGAACATTCAACACCTTGAGGGCTTGTACTACGGGGCCAACGATGCGATGCCAAAGTTTACGAAGGATGCTGACAAGCTCGAGTTGAGTATCAGAAGAACCAAATTCTTTTATAAGGGACTGAAACTCGGAGGACAAATCAGAAACTTCGGTCTGCGTGATATCAATCGGAACGTGGACAGGATCTTGGTCGCTAAGGACAATCAAGGCATCGCAGCAATACTGACTGGCATTGACAATGACGACAGGACCGTCTTCAGCTGCCTTCTGGAGGTCTGAGAAAAGGGGAGGCAGGAGAAACCGAGAAAAGTCGGGAAGCATGCGGATCCGTGAAACCACATCATCCCATTGTATTGTCAGTTGCCGGATTTGCGAGGACTGGTCTTCAGTAGACTGGTCGAACGCATTACGAAGGCGAAAACTCAACCGTCTGAACTCCTCTGCCAAGGCCGTGGCGGTGTCACCTGAGACAGAAAGTTCATCCAGTGGCGTGCTGAAGCGTGCCAACTGGGTCCAGAACACTGCGCGACCTTGCTCGACCAGCTCCACCGCAGTCGTCAGCGCACCATGACGAACACTGCATGAAAAAGCATCTGTGGCAAGGGAAGAAACGGCCTCCCTGATGACGTCGAAATGATGAGAAGAAGACGACAAGAGAGCAACTTGCTGATCCAGGAAATTGAGTGCAGTCTGATAGGCAAGCAACGCAGAGCCGTGATCAAGGGTGTCGGCGAAGGCTGCCCATGACTTGGCAACAAGGAGATCTGTGCGAGATGCTGCATGCGATAGTTGGGAGAGTTGAGAATACAAGCCAAATGCTTCATGAAGGTCGGACTGGACGCCACAGTGGTGAAATCTATCTCGAAGGCTGGATACAAGATTGTTCAGAGACTTGGATCGATTTGAATAACCGGGGGGACAGAGGAGTAATGCATCCCGATGCAGCTCGACGGACTCATAAAGGTCAGACATGATCCCACCCTGCTTGAATCTGTCTCGAAGGCTGAGTCCAAGATTGTTCAGAGACGAGGGTCGATCTGAATGACCGGGGGGACGGAGGACTAATGAATCCCGATGCAACTCGATGGCCTCATCAAGGTCAGACATGATCCCACGCTGCCGGAATCTGTATGCAAGGTTAGTAGCAAGATTGTTTAGAGACTTGGATCGATCTGGATGACCGGGGGGACAGAGGAATAATGCATCCCGATGCAGCTCGATGGCCTCATCAAGGTCTGACATGATTCCACGCTGCTGGAATCTGTCTCGAAGGCTGACTGCGAGATTGTTCAGAGACGGAGATCGATCTGAATGACCGGGGGGACGGAGGAGTAATGCATCCCGATCCAACTCGATGGACTCATCAAGGTCAGACATGATCCCACGCTGCTGGAATCTGTCTCGAAGTCTGAGTGCAAGATTGTTCAGAGACGAAGATCGATGTGAATGACCGGGGGGACGGAGGAGTGATGCATCTCGATGCAGCTCGATGGACTCATCAAGGTCAGACATGATCCCTCGCTGCTTAAATCTGTCTCGAAGGCTGAGTGCAAGATTGTTCAGAGACAAGGATCGATCTGAATGACCGGGGGGACGGAGGAGTAATGCATCCCGATCCAACTCGATGGACTCATCAAGGTCAGACATGATCCCACGCTGCAGGAATCTGTGTCGAAGGCTGTTTGCAAGACTGTTCAGAGACGAAGATCGATCTGAATGACCAGGGGGACGGAGGAGTAATGCATCCCGATCCAACTCGATGGACTCATCAAGGTCAAACATGATCCCACCCTGCTTGAATCTGTCTCGAAGGCTGAGTACAAGATTGTTCAGAGACGAGGATCGATCTGGATGACGGGGGGGACGGAGGTGTAATGCATCCCGATGCAGCTCGATGGCCTCATCAAGGTCAGACATGATCCCACCTTGCTTGAATCTGTCGTACAAGCTGTTTGCAAGATTGCTTAGAGACGAGGATCGATCTGGATGACCGGGGGGGCAGAGGAGTAATGCATCCCGATGCAGCTCGATGGCCTTGTCAAGGTCAGATATGATCCCACGCTGCCGGAATCTGTCTCGAAGGCTGAGTGCAAGATTGTTCAGAGATAAGGATCGATCTGGATGACCGGGGGGACAGAGGAGTAATGCATCCCGATCCAACTCGATGGACTCATCAAGGTCAGACATGATCCCACCTTGCTTGAATCTGTCGTACAGGCTGTTTGCAAGATTGCTCAGAGACGAGGATCGGTCTGGATGACCGGGGGGACAGAGGAGTAATGCATCCCGATGCAGCTCGAAGGACTCATCAAGGTCAGACGTGATCCCACCCTGCTGGAATCTGTCTCGAAGGCCGAGCGCAAGATTGTTCAGAGACGAGGATCGATCTGGATGACCGGGGGGACGGAGGTGTAATGTATCCCGATGCAGCTCGATGGACTCATCAAGGTCAGACATGATCCCACCCTGCTGGAATCTGTCTCCAAGGCTGATTGCAAGATTGTTCAGAGACGAGGATCGATTTGAATGACCGGGGGGACGGAGGAGTAATGTATCCCGATGCAGCTCGATGGACTCATCGAGGTCAGACATGATCCCACCCTGCTGGAATCTGTCTCGAAGGCTGAGTGCAAGATTGTTGAGAGACGAGGATCGATCTGGATGACCGGGGGGACGGAGGAGTAATGTATCCCGATCCAACTCGATGGACTCATCAAGGTCAGACATGATCCCACGCTGCTCGAACCTGCCGTACAGACTGTTTGCAAGATTGCTCAGAGACGAGGATCGATCTGAATGACCGGGGGGACAGTGGAGTAATGCAGCCCGATCCACCTCGATGGCCTCATCAAGGTCAGACATAATGTCACGCTGCAGGAATCTATCTCCAAGGCTGAGAGCAAAGTTGTTGAGAAACAAGAACGGAAGCGAATGGCCTGGAGGACAAACCTGCACTAGGTTGGTGATACTGTAAAAGGTCTCCCATGAGCGCAAGATAGAGTCAGATCAGAGTCATACACACCTGGCGAGCTGAGACTGCAGTATCGGTACACCGAAGACTCGCTAGTCGAGAGGAATGATACAGTGGGTGCTCAGCGATACCACGAATTTAAAGGCGAACTGGAAGGCCACAGTGAGCTCGAGGCTCTGTTGGCAAAGTATATGAGGCCGCTAGGTGCAACCTGAAAAGTACCTGTACACGTTGCAAGGTCCATGAAATCGCACTGC